CCAGATGATGAGAACAGGCTTCCAGTGTTTTGTCTGGACCGAACGCCTGCTGGGTCTGCAAGCCAGAGTCCTCTCCCACCCATCCAGCTGTTCCATGTGTACCAATGTTTTCAGGCACTTGGGCTACTTGTGCTCCCCTTACAGTTTAGTCTGACAGCTGATTAGAAGAGCAAGGAAGCCTCCCTCCCCCTTAACACAATTCTTCTATTTCAGGTTTGGACCGTGGATTCTTCCAACGTTGTAAGGATCTCAAAGGGACTCTGGCTGCTGTGCAACAAGACCTGCTATCAGCTGCCAGTTACCAGTAGTGATGAGTGTAAGTAACATTTGTGTTTTCATCATGGTGGTGAACCACAGGAGCTTGGCGTGCAATGCCAAAACTGTCTCCTGACCTCGAATCTACTCCCGTGTTTTGACAGCTTCCCTCAAAGTTGTGCAAGCCTTTATGATCCTGTCAATCATTTTCTCTGTCGTGGGACTCGTCCTGTTCATTGTCCAGCTGTTTACCCTGGAAAAAGGCAAACGTTTCTACATGACCGGAGCTGTCATGCTGGTTTGCTGTAAGTATACACGTGCACACCTTGTGATGGCCCCATGTACGTTCTGCTGCCTCTGTGAACACAAGTAGCCACATGTGTTTGCCACACGTGGTCATCAGCTAAATGTTTTTCAGTGGCCCAATTTTTGTGCTAAAACAAAGCACTGAGGAATTGGAAAATGTTGGTTTGGAGTTTGTTGGGGTTTTTTTTTTTTGCTGTAGATAATATTTCCAGATTTTCGTTAGGAAAGCCCAGTGGGTTTTGCAAAATACCTTTGAAAGACAACAAAAAGGATTCAAGTGGTTTTGGGGGGCAGGGGAATGAATAGTTTGACAGCTACTGCTCATGGGATTCACATAGCACCAAACTGTCTGCAGATCTTATTACTGGTTTCCTCCTAACAAAGGTTTATTCCTCATGGCACCCACTAAACAAGCCCCATGTGTCTTATGTCATCACATCTGCAAAAGGAATCCTCCATAAATAAGCCCAATGGGCAGCAGCTCCTCCCTCATATGACACAAGACATGCATTACAATCTCAGGGGACAACAGTACTTCAGAAGTCTTGCAGCAATGCTGGTTTCTGTAAGTTTTCTAATTCTCTTTTCCCCTCTTCCTTCCCACAGGGTTGTGCATTCTGATTGCAGTCTCTGTTTATACAGCTCGATTCACAGGCAGGATGCAATTCTTCCCAAGTCCTCACCATGGCTACTGCTTCATCTTGGCCTGGATCTGCTTTTGCTTCAGTTTCGTCATTGGCATCCTCTACCTTGTTCTTAGGAAAAAATAAGGCTGATGGGAGTCCAGGGGAGAGGGTTGGCTGCGGGGAATGGGGAAGAATTACTCTGCTGAGAGAACTGCTGGGCCAATAGACAGAAACAGCCACGATCATCACCACTGCCACCACCACAGAAAAATCACTAACAAAACTAGAATCCTCAGAAACTCCTTCACCAAAGAGAGGAAGAAACAACTCCTACTGATCTAGCACTTCTGGGGCTGTTGCACCAGAAATCTGTGACCCAGACAGCTCTTCTCCTTTTGTGCAGTTGTGTCATACCTTCACAAAGCTTCAAGCTCAGCAGTGGTGATTGAAGGGCACCACAAAACAAGGGCTACATCTTTTTCCCTTCTTCTCACTTACTTTTGAGTGTGCCTTGTGGGTTGAGCAGTGATGCTTATGACCCCTTTATTTGTCCATTGAAACAAATGGGATGGGCCTTTTGTTACATTTTTTAATATATATATATATATATATGCACATATGTGAATGTTAAAGACATTAAATTGAGAAGCAACCCAATAGAAATCAGATTTGTATGAAAATATATACAAAAATAAGGCAGCAAATTTTTTTGCTCTTCTGTTTTCTTTCTGACATTCCTATAATTGAATAAAATACATGTAGGAATGGCAAATACACAGGAATGGATGAGAGAGAGAGATAGAAAATTTTGGGGTGAAGATATGCAGGGGTTCCTAATTATAGAGGATGCAGTTGTTCAGTGGTGCACGTGCAGGGACGGAATCATCATAGTCTACGCTAAAATAATCTTCTGTTCATCTCCAGTACATAGTAACAGCACTGCAAAATGGCAGATCTTTACTGATACAAGTTCTTACCTGTATGCAGGACTTTTTTTCCCACATTGTCACCCAGTATGGGTCATTAATTAAGAGCCCCACCTTGTGACAGAGTTCATCTCAAAAGCAGATAATGGTTAGCAGAGGAAATGTATTCCCTAATGAGAGATTAGGAGAGATGAAGCAGGGCTTGTGGGTTTTGCTCCTTGCTGCACAACCTTAGGCCAGCCACTTAACCGGGTGCTTTTCCATCTGCCAAATTCCTCCATAAAACTATACCTACCTCCCAGGGTTGCTGAGGGATTTTGAGCCCACTCTGTAATACAAGGTCACCATGTGAAAGGCTGGCATAGGAAAGTAAGGCATTGGTACTGCTGCAACCCACAAATTTCTGTTAGTTTGAAGAATCTCAGTCCCAAGAGGTATTTACAAGGGACAAGAGGTCAAAATTTCCTGTGACTCTATTCACAACTAAAAAGTAGAGAGTATAAAAAAACATGTAAGTGCAGATTGTGCATGGATGCTATTTACCTCTCTCTCTCTCTCTCTTTTTCTGTTACATTTTCTTCTCATGTAGACTTTATCAATTTGGTGGATATATTCTAGTACTGTATGTTGCTGTTTCATTAACAAAGGTTATTTCATATATAGTCATTGTAAATATTTTGAAATGCATATTTTTAACTTTGCGGGTATAAAAATAAAATCTGATTCCCTTTATAATAAAGGGGTTTTGCTGCGGGTTTTTTTTTTTCATTGGTGTTTCAGGGATTTGTTAACAGAAGCATTTTATGTTCTCACTGAATCAAAGATCATCCCTTTAAGATGATGCCATGTTCTACCATGTTCTCTGGCATGTCAGTATATGAAATTTCCTGTTCTGGAAGGAAGGAGGAAGCAGAACAACTCTCAGATCTCCTGTTTCAGGCTGTCTGCAAGCTCAAGTAGACAGTGTGAGCAATGGTACTACTCAGTCCCAGTGCCAGGCTTTGCTTCACACCCAGGAGAGCTGGAAATGTACTTTCTCACTCTGTCAGAATCTCATCTGTCCCAAAGCAAAATCACCAAGGTGTTTACTTGTGTCTCATGAGTTGGTATAGCTATTGCCTCTTAAATGTTGTCTGGCAAAACACTTCTCCAGTTCTAGAACTTGAGCAAAAAGTCCAAAGCCCAGGACACCGGCAGATCTCGGCAAACTTGGGGCACAATACTCTGAGCTGTGACGTGAGGTTAAGACCTAACAGGAATCAGCTGTGTAGGTAGTTTTTCTTTAACAATTAATCGACCTCAGTGAGACCTAAAACATGCTAATTGAGCGCAGAACAGTGAGTTGAATCTTTAGGACCTGAAGTTTTACCAGAAAGGGACCTCTTACACAGCAGAGTGTGGGAAGGCTCACAGTGTATCATGGGTGGACACTTGTCTTGATCTGACAAGATTCCAGGAGTCCTGCTGTTCCTCATCCCTCTGGCACTCCTGTAAGTGCAGGGTAACAAAAGACCATTCAGCCACTGGGGACAAGGCTCCTCTGGCTACAGGATAACATTGACAGGTGAGACATTAGTTAGCTACTGATGTGGGAATACTGGGGCATGATAGCCAGGGAGCTTTGCACACCCACTGCTAGGCTGGTATCTGTGCCTTGTTTCTAGCATGGTACAAACCACATTTGACAATATGATACTTCACAGGGTAACAAAGCAATACCAACTTTGTTGGGATGACCAGAACAGATTATAAGCAATGGTCTCAATTTTTTAAACAGTGGTCTCCAGCGACATTTGCCTCACCTCTCACTGTTGTCATTGGCAGCTTAGAGAAGATATGAAGGCTACTGGACACTCTGGATAGCTTGGTTTGCCTGAAAAAAACCCACTTGGGCTGTTAAAAGATTGGTGCCCTAATCTACAGGTGGAAAAAGTAACTGAGTCCTCTGGCATCCTACAAACCTACTTGATCTAGTCCCTGAAATGATTCCATGAATGAAAAAAATAATTTCAAATGAGACAGTCTTTGCTCCAAAACTGGTAGCTCCCACCACCATCTTTTGAATCCTGTTACTGGCAGGCAGGAAATTACATTTGGCACCATCATGACAGAACACATCAAGCAGAAAAGCAGATACCAACAAATATGGATCGATTACAAAACATAAAGAAGCAGAAAAGGATAGGAGCAAATAGCGCTATTAGTTGTGCCATATGATGGGTGCTTGCTCAAAAATCATCTTCAGCACAGCCTGAAGTGATGCTGACCCAGACACAAAGTCCTGGCACTCCTGCAAGAGCCATTACAGGGATTTCAGGGACCAAGACTCACAAGGCCCAGGACCACAGCTGACTCCAGTACTTCACAGCAGAGACCTTGGACTAGGAAAGAGGAGAATCAGAGAAACAAAATCCCCATAGCTGAGATTTGACTGCAGAGCAAACTAAGGATTACCCTTCCCTGGTTCTTTTCTGCAGGTCACTGCAAGAAGGAAGGGGTTTTCCATTGACAAATAACTGACTAATTCAGGGCATTTGACTACAGTAAATCAGTTGCCGAAAGCACTAAAAATGAGGGACAGCTAAGGGCTCCTTAGACAAAAGACACTCTTGCTATGACCTGAAAGTCATGCTATGCAGGCTGGGAAGAAGCAGTCCAATAACTGCCCACATTAAGGGGTTTGAAATTTTCTGTATATGTTCATGGAAGTGTTGCAAAAGCCGCTGCAGAGAGCTCAAGGGAGAGCCCTGCTCTGTGAATGGCAGAAGCCCAAACCAGCCAAGCAGAGTAACTGACTCCTGGACTGATCAAAGGGTGATGACAGCACTGTGAACACAAAGGCAGCAGCACCTGCTGCATTTACGGAATGTGGCTGCCTGCCAGCACACCCATAACAGAAGAATGGCTTGATTCCCTTGCAGCAAAGACAACAGAGAAAAAACAAACCACCACCACCAATAATAAAATATAAAAACCAAACAACGAAAAAACCCAAACCCAAATCTAAAATAAAAACCAAGAGTGCAAGGAATAGGGAGCTCATGGGAGGTATAAAAGATGATGCTAGGAGTGGTGTAAAAGATTGCAGGTCACTTCCAGAACTAGAATAACTCTCCACTGCTGGCATCTAGAGTGCAATAAGCCCAAGAATAATTTAACAAAGGAAAGTAAGGTGAAATCAGTATGGCATATTATCCCACTCAAAATATATCCAGTCCAGGGGGCACCCCAGAAATGTATGCTGTGGTTGTCCTAGCTGTATTTAGAAAGCTGCCTAAACTTGTGATTATTTACATTTGCAGCTCTGCCTGCTCAGATAATAAGAGCAGCCAGGGTACCAGTTGATTGCTGGAGGAACTGGGGAGGAATATTAATCGCAGCCCCTCTGTTCCCGCATTGCACAGTTGGTGAGATGCATCACTGCAGGCAGTTCAGCTCTCCCAACATTGTCAGAGCCATAGTATCGGATTAGATACACAGTGATCTGATGCATGATGACAAATCTCATGTTGCACAATACACCCAAAGTATGTGGGTATCTGGTATAAATATACACCTTGTCATCTGTTACAGTGCTTAGGAAACCTGATTGCCTTTCTGCTCAGCCTAGCATGGAAAGCTGTAGCTGGCAGCCTTCCTACATTCCACCCCCACTCAGGCTTCTCATGTGGACTAGGTTAGCCAGGGACCAGAGGGGTCAACCCATAGCAGATGCCTCAAGGCAAATACAGGAGGCATGCTCCTCAGCAGAGATTTATGAGCAGCCAAGATGCTTCAGCTGATCTCCTAGGCTAATCTCAGTATCAGTATTTGGGTGACAGAAGTGGATCTATCTGCAATGAGGACTAGGAGAAGAGGCAATGATGTGGAGCTCTGTCACATATGAGAGTATGGTCACTTTCATACAAATGACCTGGAGAACATAATACAGCCGGAGATGCTAAAGAAGGGATGTTGGAGATGCTTCTGCCTCTTTCCACCTTCTAGATAAGTCTATGGGTGGACAAAACCTGACTTTTAGAATTCACAGATGGATAGGACTTTTTATCTTGAGTTTTGTGGAGCATCATAGATTAATTCTTTCTTTGGAAGCAGGTTCCAGAATAAAAGGTTCGTTTCATTTATGTGCTCACTGTAGAGCTTTTTGGGCCTTGCTCTCATGATAACATAGAGCTGAGGGGGCTGAGCTGTAATTCGGTGAGCAAAAGCACTTCCTAG